ACACTGCTGAGGGGAGCAGCGGGCGGCAGGAGAGGTCTGCGCGCCATGTGGGACCCTCCTCCGGTGGCCGGGGAGCAGCCGGGGATCGAACTGGCGCCGCAGAGGCCGTGGGCAGCTTCGCAACCCAGCGCTCAACCGCTGCGCCACAGGGGAGGCCCACTATCTCTTTTTTTTTGCTATGAATATAAGCTTATCAAACATCGTACAAAAAAAACGAATAACAATGTAAAACTACATAAATAAAAAATTAAAATTAAAAAAGAAATTAAGCTTATAGTTTTTACTATTGCTCACCGTATTTCCAGGCCCTAAGTTGCAGGCACACGCAGGGGTGCAGATAAAAGCTGTGGGAGGGAATGAATGGATGAATGAATAAATGGAACAGGAAGCCAGGTGTCCAGAGTTCTGCTGCCTCCAAAACCTATACTTCCAGGACCTGGTGCTGGGTGACAGCCATCCCATCCAACAGGGCCTGACTCCGCAGTCCTTCCAAGCTCTTCCCTTTGATGGCAGCTCCTCAGGTAGTGCTTCTCAGCCCCCAGGGTCAACCAGATCACAATGGTCAGCAATACACCAAAAGGTGAGCTTCTCCTGCTCCGTTCTGTTGCCAGGTGGGTTTTGCAAGAGCCAAGGGCTTGAGGGGAGTCCTCCCCTGCCATGCCGAGCTGGCTGCCTCCCCCAGGTGCCCACATGATGACTTTCAAAACCTAGCTGATGGTGCATGGGTGCACTGATGAAAGAAATTATATGAGGACTACAACTGAGGTGGGGGAAGCAAATATTGTTTAAAAATGAATAATGTTGTAAAAAAATAAATAAATAAAACCAGCATTTCCCGAGTGCTTCCCTCTTGGCCTCTCTTTGGTCACTGTGTTCATCATCACCCCTTCCCTTAATGAAAACCTCCCCTTCCCATTTCTCCATACCCCCCCAGCATGCTCTGTTTCAGAGCCTCTGCTAGACCAGATCCATCCATGTCGTCGGAAACCAACAGAGAGACTAATGCATTCATCCTAACTTCGTGAAGGTTGGGGATGCCACAGGGCAATACTAAGCTCCATTTCTGAGCTCTCGCCCAAGAACCTCTGTTCCAGGCTCCCTGGCAGTTGCTCTCCTGGCCCCCAACCCTCTCAAAAGGAACAAAGAGAGATGAAACCCAAGGCCTCCTACTAAGGTACATCATCCCAGTGACTGACACTGGCAACAACTGATCATGAAAACGCCAGTCCATGTCCACAGCAGGGCCACCTCCACCCCAGCCCCTCCTGGACCATAACTTCATACCCCATAACAAACGCACCATTCATCCCTGCCATGCACACGGGAGAAGCATGCTCAGCAGCACTTAAAATCATGCTGCAAATAACCGCCTGTCCTTACCTTTATCTTTCTGTATCCCCAGGGCAAAGCTCAGGCCCATCACATAGTAGATGCTCTGAAAACACCTACAATGAGTGAATTTTGCAGGAAGGGATGTGGTGAGAGTGAAGAGAGGTTTGACCACAGTCCCGGTGCTCTCAGCTGGTTGACCACAGGCGAGTCTCCGTCCTCTGGGCTTCAGCTCTCTCATCTGTACAGATCAGAGTTTGCAACTGCTGGCCTAGATGCTTCATCCAGGTTGTAGATATGTTTTTATCACTCAGTCAGTGTTTAACTTTATTTTAAAATTGGTTATCAACTTTTAAAAATTGGGGGATTTCCAGAAAACCTAAAGTTTTCAGCTTTTGTTAAAAAATGAGAAAACCTGGCCACACTGAGCTCACAGTCCTGCATACAACAACTGGCTGGTCTGGCAGCAGCTGCCCCTTTAGTTGGGGCATCTGGATGTAGTGCTGTCTCCCTCTCTCCCTATGGCCTTACCCACGCACATGTGTCACCTGCCTACCCCCCACAGACATGAGGTTTGCAACCCCTGAGTGTCACCCCTGAGTCCAGCACGACCTGACTGTTTATTGGATCTGTGAGGCCTGAAAATGGTGTTACAGCATTCCCAGGTGACAAAACCCATTAACACCTGGATAAGGAAACTGTAGGACTGAGTGGAGAGAAATTGCTGCACTGAGGATGACACAGAATCTATAAACAGCCTCAGTGATGACACCTGTCCAATCTCACCTCGGTCAGGAGGGCTGGGCATGTGTCAGTTCATGGCTCAACCCAGGGACTGTCCCTCCTCCTGATACCACCGAAGACAGTACATGTAGGGATGATGTCACAGCTGAGACTGTGGGGAAGGTGAAACTTTTCTTTGACTCAGGAAGGATGTAGTGATGATTGATTTCCCAATGAGGGTGGGAGGAGCAGCATGTGTGAAGGAGGCTGGCTCCCAGTCCAGGATCCTAGGGATGCAGGTTCCCCATGGCCATACAATAATGATAGCGCTCAGCCTGTGCTCAGGAGGGCTGGGCATGAGATTGTCACATACACAGTCACTCCCATTCCTGGCCCCAGGTTTTCAACTCACAGTCTTTCCTTGAAGGCGCCTCCAGCTCTCCCAACTCTGGGCTCACTTTGGCTCATCCTCCCATTGAAATCTCTTCACATTTTTGTGTCTCTGTCCCTCAAAGGCAGTTGTCTCCAGGCTGATCTTCCAGGCAGATCTGTTCCCTGAGTTTCAAGCCCCTGTGGAACACCTCAATCCCCACCTCATTGTGTTGTCTGTCTATGGCTTGTCTCTCTTCCCCTCTCCACCATGCCCCAATCATCAGGTCTTGATCACTGTGAGAAGGGTCTGACATATGCAATAAAGCCTCCTTGTGGACTCAGATTCCTACCAGCCCTTCGGCAAGTCACTCGCTCAACTCTTGGGCTTTCTTCTCCATTTATAAAATGAAACTGCCCCTCAGGATGTGGAGAGTAGATGAGCTAAGAGCATTGAGAATTAAAGTAGTTAAGTAAATAAAAGCTGCTCTTCCTGGAAGAGGGTTATCCTCCTTCATGGGTGCAGGAGATAAACTGATGCTCTCCAGGACTAGTCCTGAGGAGCATTAAGGTACTACTAATGCACTTGGCATGCTATGGGCAGTGTGAGCAGAGGGCCTGGAACTGACGTGTTATGTGATTCCTCGCTTCCTCTTTCAAATATACAGGAAGTCATATGGGAGGGGAGGGTGGAGCCTGGGAGATGTGCTGAGGGCCCAGATCTGGCAGGGCCAAGCAGGCTCCCCACTGTTCTTCAGGGCACAATCACAAGAAAGAAAGAAACATTCCCTAGAACAGAGTGAGACCCCAAGGACTGGGGACCACCTGGGGCCCAGGAGGTGGCTGGAACATCCTTGAGTGGTCAACCCCCACCCCACCCCATCCTGGGCCAGGAATTGAAAAGAAGATTGTGAACTTCCAACAACAACAACAACAAAAGAGCCCAAGCCAGCATTTTCATCAGCCTCGGACTCTCTGTTCTGACCTTGTGGATTTGCATGGGCCAGCCCTTTGCTACCTGATCCATTCCCACAAGTTGATTCAGAGTCAGGGGCAGGGCAGTCCAGAGCTGGCCCCAACTCACACCCACCTGACTCCAAGGCCAGCCCACCCTCTTCTCTGGCCCCTCAGACCTCTGAGCCCCAGCAGCTGAACCCCACTGCTGTCTAGACCAGGCCCTGAGCACAAAGAATCTCTCCATTACTGATGCTCATGGGCACAATACTTAACAACTGGCAAAATCCTCTCTCCTGTTAATTTTATCAGTAGACAGACCTGAGGAATAAGTAGTGTAAGGATCATCTTCACACCCTTATTCTTTGTTTTTGTTTCTTTTTTTTAACATTTATTTATTTATATAAGAGCTGGGGAGTATAGGTCAGAGGCGCAGGAGGGTAAGAGGATTCACCAGAGACAGAGCAGGGAGCAGAACAGGCAGATGGACCGAAAGCACTGCTGAGGGGAGCAGCGGGTGAGACAGGAGAGGTCTGCTGCGCCATGTGGTTTTCTCTCTGGCCGGCCGGGGATCAAACTTGTGCTGCAGAGGCTGCGGGTTGCTTCATAGTGCGGTGCCAGGAAGGCCCTCTCCATCTTTCTTTAACTCTCAGTGCCCCCTTTTGTCTCCCTGTCTGTCTTCAGGGCCTGTGGTAGGAGGGGGGCCTCTACCAAGGGCTTAATTATACTTTTGTTATATTCAAGTAAAAGCACATAGATGTTCATATGTTGGCCTTAATCACAATTTAACACTTTCCCCAATTTTTCCATCTATTAAGACGTCACAGACTGGAGCCCCCCTCCTTAAGCGAGGTGGTGAGTTGCCCTCATTTCTTTTTATTTTTTTTCCTGTCCTAGTCTGGCTGCCATGGGGAGAGAGTCATGATGAAGAAAGATCACGACAGTTATTATCTTTACATTCATGTTTCCACTTGGGGACTTCACTACTGATAGAATTGCAGTACGGTCTTTATTTTTATTTATTTATTTATTTATTTATTTATTTTTAAATTTAAATTTTATTTTTATATTCCCCATAAAATTACAACCCCCTTATTTTGACTCCAAACCCTCCTTTCCCCGTCCCCCACCCCCCACAGAGTGTCTCTGGTTCATAGTTGTTTGTTGATTTTGATTTTCACTTTCTTATAGTTATTCGTTTTCCTGGTCCCTTATTTAAGTTTTCTAGATTCCTGCTATGAGTGAGACCATCCGGCATTTTTCTTTTTCTTTCTGGCTTATTTCGCTGAGCATGATCCCTTCCAGCGCCATCCATGTTGCTGCAAATTGCATGAGTTTATCTTTTTTCAATGCTGATTTCTCTCCGCCTTGTGGGGGCTTTAGAGTCCTCACTCTCCACGATCCCCCGAATCTGGCTGCGCTGCCCTCTGGGGAAGGCAGGGGGCGCCCGCGGGCCGGCCCTGGGGGGCGTGGCGGGGCGGGGCAGGGGCGGGGCCCCGAGGCCCAATGGGCCAATAAAGGCGGCGGCGCGCGGCCCGGGCTGACTCGGCCCTCCGGGCACGCGTGACCTTCCCGGCTGCCGCGTTTGTTCCACCCGCGGCTCCACCGCCCCGACCGCGCTCGCGATGCTGGCGCTGCGCTGCGGCTCCCGCCTGCTGGGCCTGCTCCCGGCCCCGCGCTCCGCGCCGCTGCGGTTCCCGGAGGCCCGGGCCTGCAGCAGCGGCGGCGGGGGTGCCCGCGACGCCTCCTCGGGAAACCCGCTCGTGTACCTGGACGTGGGCGCCGACGGGCAGCCCCTCGGCCGCGTGGTGCTGGAGGTGAGACCGCCGGACCCGGCCGCGCCGCCCCGGGGGTCGGGCACGGTTCCGGGAGGGCCCTAGACCCCGGCCTGGCGCTGTGCCTGGCCTGCAGGGGGGCACTGCGCCCCCCTCCCCGGCTCTGGAGCTCAGTTTCCCCAGCTCAAAGAATGGGCATCAGACTGGCCTCACGGTCACCCTTTGGAACTTTTTGGCGTGGTGGCGGGAGAGGGTTGCATGCAAAGGAGAAAGCTCAAGGTCAGGCGGTAGGCTGTGAGGCCCCGGCCCTGCTGGCAGGCCCCGGAGTGGGGGCGGGTTTCTGAGATCCTTTGGGTCAGAACCTAGACCCGGATCGGATCTCGGAGGTGGCTGTTGGGGGCTCTGCCGTGCGCGGGGTGGGCCAGGCTGGCGCTCACGTGGTGGCCCTTGCATAACGTGCATCTAGCCCCGGGCCCCGCCCCCGCCAGCGGTTTACACCTGGGCGCGGGGCATTGAGCAAAGATGATTTCATTTCAACCGTCAGTGTGGGCTGGGCCAAATGCTGGCTCCAACCATCGTATGTACCCCAGAATGGCCTTCCTGCTAGCTGGGGAAGTGTGACAGGCGCCCTCTACCCCAGTCCCAACTCCAGCCATCCTGCTTGGACACTCAATGCCTGCCCTGACCCTTTGGGCCTTTAAAAAAAAAAAAAAAAAGCCAGAAGTAAGTAGTCTCAAAGGTAACAGGGAACTTAATGTTGTCCTAAACGTGGCCCCATTTTGAACAAAGGAACCTCAGTTTTCCCATCTGGAAAATGGAGAACACCCTCTGTGGTCCCACTTATTTAAAGTGTTTGGTGCCATGTGACTCTTGAAGCTGGGAAGCCTCAGTTTCCCTTCTGCGTATTGAGGATCTTGGACTGGCCCCTATTCAGACCTGAGTCTCACTCTGATGCTTGGGTCCAGCTGCTGCTGTAGCTCTGCCAGCTCTGCCCTCAGAAGTCGGCGGGATGGCACTGTCATCTCTTCTGACAGATTAGGACACCAAGGCTGCCTCCTGGCTTTGGGTTCAGGAAGCAGTTGGCAGAAATGATAGCTGCTTAGCTGCTTAGGTGGCCTCCTACACAGACTGGGAGTAACAGGAATGGAATGGCCACCGTGCCTCTCCGTCTTCTTGGCCTCTGTGGGGCCTGGGTGGTTCTGAGGTCCTTTCCTTCACCTGTCTCGGGACTAACCTCTCTTCCCTCTTCTTTCCTCACAGTTGAAGGCAGATGTTGTCCCAAAGACAGCAGGTAAGACAGTGCTGGGGCCTCCTGAGTTTATCTAGACAGAAGAGAGAAAGGAAAGAGGTGGGCAGGTGGGCTGGGTAGAACACTTGGGGCTCGGAGACCCCAACCAGATGGGAGAAACACATGTGGCTCAGCTGCTCAGTGCCCTGAGCAACCTTCAGTCCTTCTCTGGGCTTCATTGTTGGCCCTCACCCACCTATCCATTAGGAGTACCTAATGAGCGGAAGGCAGAGAGTAGCAGAGTGAGCAGAAGGCACATATCCACTTCCTTTGAGGCGCTTCCTCCCTCCTGCTGCCTGATAGGGTAGGGTGATGGGTACACAGCCCGTGGACTCTCTCCCTGCAGACCTGGTGCTGGAATAGCCAGGAGCGTGTTCCCTTCCACAGCGCTTAGACCTGAGGTCAGAAAAGGAGATGACTTGTCCCAGGTCACATCGTCAGGGCAGAGCCAGGGACAGACCTAGGGTCTTTTCACACCAGGCTCACCTAATGGGGGCTTCAAGGGGATGCTGGATGGAACAAGATGTGACCCCGGAGTTGAGGCCTGGTCCAGTTGACATGTCTTTCAATCCTTAGAGAACTTCAGAGCCCTGTGTACTGGGGAGAAGGGCTTTGGCTACAAAGGTTCCACCTTTCACCGAGTGATTCCGTCCTTCATGTGCCAGGTAACTCTTCTGCACAGGCCCTCTCTGTGCCTCGGTTTCCTCTTCTGTATATGGGGATAGTAGTGAGGGCCACTTCGTAGGGACATTATGAGGATTAATGAGTGAACCCTGGTGCTTAGAAAGTACTGAGCGGAGGGTGACTGTAATTACTCCCTTGGCCTCTCCTCTCACCCTGAAAGGCTGGAGCTGGTCTTGGCTGCCATGGCCCATCCCTTCCCCAGGGAGCAGGTACAGGGCAGGTGGAAGGATGTCCCTACCCAACTGTGTGGGGAAAGTTGAGTCTGTGGAGGAAAAACTGGCACTGGGTGTGCATGTGCTTTGGGTTGATGATAAGGATTTGGAAGACCAGTGTATTCAGAGGCCAGGTCCCACTGGGCACTTGGTATAGGAGATAGAGAGTGGAGAAGGTGGGGCAGAGCATAGGGGAGGGGAGAGAAGGCATAGACCAGAGCACACATGCCTGGAATTGGCATTTTTGTTTCCAGGAAAGGGCCTCTTTCTCGGTTAAATGACAGTGTTCTTTAGTATTGCTGTGTCAGGTTTTGGGGTAGGTGTGTTGTGGGTTATCCTCTTGTTGCTTATACCCTGCTGGGTTAGGGATTAGTATCCAGAGGTCAGCAGGCCTAGAGGCAGGGGCATGGATATCATGGCCTCTCTGAAGTCCTTTCAGCCTAGAATTTTCTTCTGAACCAGTGGCTGTCATTATAAATCATGTGAGTGGCAGTAGGTTGGGCTGGGCCTGCTGACGTGGTGAGTGTGGTGGATGCAGGGACAGGGAGGGAGACTGTGGCTGGGGGATAGGCCTGGCCAAGGCCTCTAGATTTATTTATTTTTTTTTTTGCTAGAGGCTCCTAACTCCACCCTAGGCTGTGGATGAAGCAAGAACTGAGGCAGATGTCCTGAGCTGGGCCAGGATCTTCCTCTGAACAGCAGTAGGCAGAGCAGGCACTTCTAAGGCTGGAGGGCTCTCTGAGGCTGGAGGTGATGGTACTGGGAGGACCAGGCCATTTCTCTCTTTCTTTTTTTAAAGATTTATTTATTTATGCATACAAGAACTGGGGTACAGGCCAGAGATGTGGGGGTGGGGGGGGTGGAAGGATTCACCAGAGACAGAATGGGGAGCAGAACAGGCAGATCAACTGAAACACACTGCTGAGGGGAGCAGTAGTGAGCCAGGAGAGGTCTGCTGCGCCATGTGGGTAGCTTCCTGGCTGGCCGGGGGATCGAACTCGTGCTGCAGAGGTTGCAGATAGCTTCACAGTGCAGTGCTTAACCCCTTGCGCCACCAGGGAGGTCTGCCAGGCCATTTCTTGACTCATTCCTCTTTTGGGCCACCTTACTGGCATTTGTGGATGCTTCACCTGGCTACTCACACCTCTCACCTGAAGATCCAATCTTAGCAAATAGCAACATGACTAGCAGGACTGGAGGTGGGCAGCACTAAGTGTCGGGGCTGCCCCTGGGCTCTTCTGACCATGAGCAGCTCCCCACAGAAGCCATAGGCAAGTGCTGAGGAAGGATGTCACCCCTGGGTGGACTCTGTCCTGGGTCTGCAAGGTCTGGGGGTGATACTGGGACACAGAGGGGAATCACCATGTGGAACTGGCTCTGGACAGTTACCTCTGCTTTCCACACACCACACTGGAATGGGGACCCCAGTTACCCTCTAAGAATTGTGAGTTGAAAAGTCTGGGTCACTCGGCATCATCTCAGAATGATTAACTCCTTGGAGGATCATTTGAAAACTTGCTCAGACTAAAAGTGAATTATTCAGAAACTAGGGTAGTGACTGTGGCAGGAAAATATTTAAGCTTTATTTTAGCTTATGTTCCTTATTTTGTTAGTCCTTATTTCAGGGCTGTTTTGACCCCCAATGTCTGAGGTGGGGGGACGGGGGCCTTGGATGGGTTGGGGGCTGCCTCAACACTGCAGCATCTGGGTAGCAGCTACTCAGAAAATGCTCTGTGCTCACAGGCGGGTGACTTCACCAACCACAATGGCACAGGGGGCAAGTCCATCTATGGCAGCCGCTTTCCGGATGAGAACTTCACGCTGAAGCACGTGGGACCAGGTATGTGGGGCCCCACCCCCTTGTCTGAGTGTCCAGGAGGTTAGGCCCAGCCTCTGCCCCGCCTTGCAGGCCCTGGGCAGCTGCAGTCAGATCTTTGATTGCTCAATATCCAGAGGCACGCCTTCCTTCCTTCAGCACTCCCTGTTGGCCTGTTGGGTTTCTAAGAGCTTTTTCATCCCAAGCTCTCAGTTTAAAAAACAAATGTTCCTTTGGGAGCCTTGGAGAGAGAACCTTTAAGCAAAACCCTGGTGATATATTGACCTTAAGATCCAAGATAAGATGGAGTGTGGAAAAGTCTAGAGTCAGGCTGGGAGTCCCATTTTGGCTCTGCCACTGAGAGCACTCTCAAGACCCTTTCTTCCCAGTGACTTCCCAGTGCCTCCTGGGTCAGTGTGACTCACCCCTGCTTGGTTTGCAGGTGTGCTGTCCATGGCAAATGCAGGCCCCAACACCAATGGCTCCCAATTCTTCATCTGCACCATAAAGACGGACTGGTAAGTGCCCTGCTCCTGACTCTAGGCCTCTGGGAAGAGGGGTGGCCTTGCAACAGGAGGAGGGTACCTGTGCTTCAGGGCAAAGTGGAGGTTGAATTCTGCTGTCCCTGGGGCTATATATGAGAAAAAGCAAGCTAGCGAAATGGTGAAGGGAGAAGTGGGTGGCTCTTGTAGCCCTCTCTTAACTAGATGTGTGTGCACACACACGGATCCTTTGATAAGATACATTTGGGAAATGCTGCCAAACATTAGTCCTCAGGGTGGTTTAACGTATTATTTCCTGGACTGACTTCGACCTTGAAATGCACCTTAAAAATGGCAGCAGCAGGCATTGGAATATCACATCAGATCTTTCACCAGGCATTAGCATAAGTTGGCAGAAAGCCACCCATGCCTTAGAACTCTCTTTCCCACGGGCTCCTGGATTTTAGGAATGTGATCCTGGTACGTTTCTGCTGTGTCCTAGTCCTGGGTTATCTGGGATTAAGGAGACAACAATTCACTAGGGGGTAAGACTTAATAAAGCACATGTGGGCCTCCCCGGTGGCTCAGCGGTTGAGCGCTGGGTTGTGAAGCTGCTCGCAGTCTCTGCAGCGCCAGTTCGATCCCCAACTGCTGGAAAGGATCCCACATGGTGTGCAGATCTCTCCTGCCATCCACTGCTCACTCCCCTCAGCAGTGCATTTCGTCAGTCTGCCTGTTCTGTTCTCTGCTCTGGCTCTGGTAAATTCTCTCACCCTTCTGACTGTACCCAGTGTTTGTATAAATAAATAAATAAAATTTTAAAAAATTTAAATAAAATAAAGCACATGTCTGTGGCCTGGTGGTATGATGGGTTCTGGGCCTCTAGCCTCTAGTCCAGAAGGGATAGGATATCTGGGGCTGGGCAGGTTGTGACTGGCTCTGCCCACTGTGCTCCTTCCATGAGACTTTAGTGATCCTGCAGTTTTACCGTGGCCATGACCAGGCTGGGCTTTGCTGGCCCTGGACTAAGTTACTTTTAGATTCTTGGAACTCTCTCAGGTTGAGAGCTGCTGAGGAAGTACATGATTTTACCACGTTTATTCTCTTGGCGCTCATCTCTTATTTCATGACTGCTAAGATAGTTCTATTTGCATAGACCTCTTATTTCTTTGGGGTGGTTCAATATCCTGTTTGCTGCCTGTACAGAACAAGGTTCACTCTTCACAGGTGAGGTGACCAGGATTCAGGTGAATGGGCCTCAGCAAGGTCAAACCACATGTGAGGCAAATATGCCTGGAAGGCAGGAATCCTCTGGGGGTTTGGGGGAGCTCAGCATGACTTAAAACTAGGAGCTTTGAGGGGTGGAGCCAGCTTTTCAGTGTATGTTCCTTTCAGAATTGCTGTTTTTGGTAAGTAGGCTATGATGTAGGGTGACTTTGCTCTACAACTGTTTCTGCTCACCTGGTTTACCTCTCCCCACAGGCTGGATGGCAAACATGTTGTGTTTGGCCATGTTAAAGAGGGCATGGATGTTGTGAAGAAAATAGAGTCTTTTGGCTCCAAGAGTGGGAAACCATCCAAAAAGATTGTCATCACAGACTGTGGCCAGTTGAGCTAACCCGCTGGGGCTCCTGGCCAGCAGCAGCACACATGTGTGACTCCCTGGGTGGCTGCCACGGCTTCTGGTGAAGGTACCCTTAGAGTGGCCTGTGCTCGCTCCGCCATCAGTGCACTGAAGGAAGATCTCTCAGGAATCCGGGACCCCATGGGGTCCCACCAGACTGCTTCCCAGTGTCCACCCTCCCTCGCAATCCTGTTTCTGGACATTGTGCATCATGGCCAAGTATCACCACCACTCTGCTCCTCAGGCCTCATTGTGAGGGCCCAGCCCATGTTCACCTGTGCCTCGGACATCAGCATGGTGAGAAATATCTTCCAGGGAAGGTCTCTACTTTTTTTCTTGACCACAGGGGAAAACCCGTTGCTGCAAAGGGACTGTTGTATCTGTCTACTTCCATCTTCCTAATTGTAATAATTTGATGAGCAAGGTTGCCTGGAGATGACGCTGTACCATGCTGTGGTGTGACCTGAGTTGGTGACCCAGGCCCAGAGCTTGGCCTTTGAGGCATAATCAGGGCTTCTGTGAAAGGTCCCGTGGCTGAGGCCGTTATCCCAGCTACTGTGAATCCCGCTGGTTTGCTGCTGTTGAGTTTGTGGAGACTGGGGAGGTAGAGGCAGGTGAACCTGGGAACAACCGCTCTGCGAGCCATGCCTGTCAATGTGAATTGCTGTGTTGAATTGGAAATGGCCCCTAAATACTGTATTCCCTGAAAGTCAGCGTGTGTTGCCTGGCGGGCTTTGATTTTTTTTTCTGTGTTTAGTAAATCAAATTTAATTATAGACATGATACACTTCTGGAACGTATATTTGTGTTTACCTTAAATGTGACAATAAATCCTATTTTCTATAAAACACTGTCTGTTGTCAGTGGTTTTCGGCAGCATTGTATGTAATTCACGTATTTGGAGCCAACCTTCCTCAGTTATGCTGTCAGGTGCTGTGCCGAGGGCTGTCTCATTGATCACCCCAGCAACCTGGGTGAGCATTATTGTCATCCCGTTTCACAGATAAGAAGTTGGACTCAGAACACCTTAGCATCGTGGCCGCTCTGTAAACACTGCCTCCAGGTGACTCTGAGTCTGTCTTCCTCAGCTGCATAATGGAATCGCAACATCCACTTCACAGGGCAGGGCTTCCATGCAAACCATGTGAGGTACAGAGCACAGTGTCTGGCGTGTGATCAGAATGAAAGGATGATGTTTCCCATGTGTCAGGGCCTCAGAGGAGCCATGGTCATCTAAGGTTAAATGACTCCTGGATGTACCATCTACATTTGGAATTAATATCTAGGTGCTTCTGAATTCACAGAGAGGGCAGAATCGGGGCTTGAGAGGAAGATGGATGGCAAGCTTGTGCATCTAGTGGGATTATTTCACCTTTGGGCTCCCTAAGCTTGCTGACTTGAGGTCACAGGGCCCCACTATCATACTGAAGTCACAGGGGCTGGAGTTGAGTCATTTGGAGTAGGGGTTCCCTGAGGTAGGTCATGTGAGGTCACAGGTCAGTGCGGTCATTCTGAGGTCATGGTGGCTGGAGTTGGGTCATGAAATCGTGGAGAGTTTCTATGAAGTAAGAGTTCAGTACATGGAGTTCAACTGGCCTAGTAGTGTTCAGACAAATCTCAAGAGTCTTAGGGTCCTTGGAATAGAACAAAAGAATTATTGGTGCCATAGGCCCTTGAATCCCATTTTCAATCATAAATATCCTTCATTTTTCTTACTGAGCCTCTTCATTTTTCTTACTGAGCCATCTTGAAGAACTGGCTCTTGAGCCAAATCGTAAGAATTGGTGACTGCGCCATCAGACTAACATTTTATAGATGGATAAAATGAGGCCCCAAGAGGAATCTTATAGCCCACAGTGACCCTGTGAGTCAGTTGGCAGAGCAGGGGCTTGAACCCAAGACCCTGCCTATCCAGAGGGGATTCTGCTGGAGATCTTGCAGAATGCAAGATCACACATGATTCAGAGCTTTTCAGATTTCTGAGGTCAAAACTACGACTGCAGTCCCTCTGGAGTTTTTTCTTGAAATCTGGATACTAGGAAAGCAGGGGTGCTATGGACAAGTAGCCCTTTGAGTGATTACCTGGTCCCTCAGTGATTTCTAGGGTGTCTCAGGGTATCTGTCAGGGTCAGAGGACCTATGGGCCCTGTGTTTGATTCATAGATTTTCCTTTCTTTTTTTTAAGATTTATTTATTTATGTATACAAGAGCTGGGGTACAGGTCAGAGATGCAGGGGGTGAGAGGACTCACCAGAGACAGAGTGGGGAACAGAACAGGCAGATTGACTGAAACACACTGCTGAGGGGAGCAGCGGGTGACACAGGAGAAGTCTGCTGTGCCATGTGGGTTGCACCCTGGCAGGCCGGGGATTGAACTCATTACAGAGGTTGCAGATTGCTTTATGGTGTGTTGCTTAATCCCTTGCACCACCAGGGAGGCCCCGCATAGATTTTCCTTTCTGATGAGGAGGAAGCATGTGCATGGGCCTCCATCCAGAGGGGCCTGGTGTGAGGTAAGAGCATGAAGCCAGGACACAGGAATTTCCTAAAATCTGTTTCCTGAAGGTGGGGTCTGCCATTCTCCTCCCTACCCTCTGCACATGGGAGACTCGTGGTATTTCTTACATAGAGTGGCAACCCAATATGCAAATGAAACAGTGACTTGTTGCTGACATGGTGCATAATGTCTGAGCAAAGCAGTGACTCATGCCCCTGCCCGCACAGCTGTAATCATTTGTGTCACCTTGTAAACATGTTTTTAATATCTCAAATATCAACTTTCTGAGACATGTGATAGCTTTTCCAAATGACTTCACTGAGGTACAGCATACATACAATAAAATTTGCACATGTAAGTATACAGGTTGATGACTTTTGACAAATGCCTACATTCAATAACCACCACCAGATTAAGACAGAACATTTCCATCTCTCCAGAAACTTTATCTCCTTGCGCAACCACTAAATTCTATTTCTTTCTTTTTTTTTTTTTTAATTTTATCTTGCTCCTTGAAAGTAAATGTATGTAAATGTTTCCAGGCCCAGAAGGCCTAAAGCAATGCTTCTCCTGGGAATCCTGAAGGGTCAGTAAAGCATACATATTCCTGGGCCAATGTGATACCTGCACAAATCTAAGGGTGGGATCGAGGAATCTGAATTTAAAATCATTTGGGCGTAGGCCAGAGTGGACAAGATTGAAAAAAGATGGGCATGGCTCACTACTAATCACGGTTTACTTCTGGGAAAATTTTTTGCCCAACATTCTGAGTATCTAGAGTGAGACCCTCCACTGATAATTCTCAGATGACAGGTGGGGGCCAGCATGTTCAGCCTGAGACTTGTGGGGGCTGGTGGGCATCTGTGCTTGTCCACAGCGCTGGTAAAGGCAGCTTCCCACAGCCTCGGCCTATGGAAGTGTTTCAGAGGGGAGCAGCTCCTGCCTGGAAGCCACTGCTCTTCCTTTGCTGTCCAGGAGAAAGGTCTGACTTGGAGGACCAGGTGGGAGAGCATCTCTTCTGGGGGCCAGAGGTCAGATCTGCGTAAATGTCCACCAGGGCAGGGTGGGTAGAGAAAGCCCTAGATCCACCCTGCTCCCCCTATCCCATCAGCTTCAGCCTTTTGAGATGGTTTAGAATAATGTTTTTATTATTGTATTTTATTATATTGCAGTGGTTAACTTTGTATGACAACTTGATTGGGCCATGGGATGCCCAGACATTTAGTCAAGCATTGTTTCTGGTGTGTCTGTATTTGTGAAGGACGTTTGGATGGAGCTGATGTTTGAATTGGTAGATGGACTAAAGCATATTGCCCTCTCTGACATAGGTGGGCTTCATCAAATCAGCAGAAGAACTGAATAGAACACAAAGGCCGAGTTAGAGGGCTCTCCTGTCTGACTGGAGACCAGGACCTTTCACTGCCTTAGGACTCAAACTAATACATCAGCTCTTCTCGGCTGCCAAGCCTACTGGCTTTTGGATTGGAACTCACACCACTGCTCTTCCAATCCTGGGTCTTCGGACCTGGTCTGGAGTTACATCACCAGCTCTCCTGGGTCTCCAGCTTGCCAGCTGCAGATCTTGGAACTTGTCAGCCTCCATGACTGCATGAGCCAATATTTTTTTTTTTAAAGATTTATTTTCATTTATACAAGAACCGGGGTACAGTCCAGATGCGAGGGAGGGTGAGAGGATTCACTAGAGACAGAGCGGGGAACAGAACAGGCAGACCCACTGAAATATACTGCTGAGGGGAGCAGCGGGCCAGACAGGAGAGGTCTGCTCGCCATGTGGGTTGCTCCGACGCCGGCGGGCATCGAACCCGCACCGCAGAGGCTGCGGACAGCCTCAGAGCGCTGCGCTCAACTGCCTGCGCTACCAGGGATGCCCGAGCCAATATTTTAAAATAAACTTCTTTATATTCATAAACTTATCTCTCAGCATATGATAGGGGTATATATCAATAAACACATCATAAACTGAAAATATCCTATGTCAAAAATATTGCCTGGGAGTTGCGGCTCAGGGCCGCAGCCAGCATCACAAGACAGTATTGTCTCATGGTTTCTGAATGCATACCACTTTTACCTTTTTCTTGAATTTTATTGATTGTCAATTATTTACATAACTGTGTCATTTGGGGGGTATCACTTCACCCCTCCATATGTTCACGTGCTTCACTCACCCTGCACCAAAACTCCAGCGCCAATATCCTCCCCCTTCGCTCCCCACCCTCTTCTCCCACCTCCTCTCTGGTCCCACTCTATTTTTCACAGAATAGGGATTATTTTTTTGCTGTGCTTTGCCAGTTCATTTTCTTTGGTTATTTGTATTTCACAAATGAGTTAAACCATTCCGTAACTGTCTTTCACTTTCTGGCTTATTTCACTTAGTATAATCACCTCAAGATCCAGCCATTTTGTCCCAACGGGACAACGATTTCATCTTTTTTAATAGCTGAGGGGTATTGCATTGTGCACACTGTCAACAGTTTCTTCATCTGTGGAGGGTGTACCTTGACCTGTTGTGGATAATGCTGTTATGAACATATGCGTGCACCAGTCTTTTTGTATTAGTGTTTTCCGATTCTTTGGGTAAATACCTACTTCTACTGCAACACTACTTCTACTTCTACTACTTCTGCTTCTACTGCAACACTACTCAGCTATTAAAAAAGATGAAATCGTTTCCTTTGGGACAAAATGGATGGAACTTGAGGTGATTATATTAAGTGAAATAAGCCAGAAAGTAAAAGACAGTTACAGAATGGCTTAACTTATTTATGGAATATAAATAACGAAAGAAAACCAAAGAAGTGGTATTGCTGGATCATATGGTATTTTCATTTTTGGAGAAATCTCCATACCATTTTCCATAGAGGTGGCACTAATTTTCATTCCCACCAACAGTAAGAGTTCATTTTTCTCCACAACCTTGCCAAAATTTGTTGTTTCTTACCTTTTTGATATTGGGCCATTATCTCAGGGATGAGGTGATAGTACTTTGTGGCTTTGATTATCTTTTCCCACGTAATAAGTGACATTGAGCATTTTTCTATGTTCCTGTAGGCCTTCTATATAGGTTCTTTAGAGAAGTGTCGACTAGGTCTTTTGCCAGTGATTTTTGTTATTGAGTTGTTTGCTTTTGTTGTTGATTTGTACATGGGTTCTTTATATATTTTGGAAATTAATGAAGTCCTTGTCAGACATGTGCTAATATCCTCCTAATCTATAGGCTGTCTATTTTGTTTTTGTGGTGGTGTCTTTCATAGAACAAATGCTTTTTAGTTTGATGTCTTCTCATTTGTTTATTTTCACTTCAGTTTCCCTTCTGTTGGAGTTGAGTTCCCAAATGCGTCTCTG